GCCTAATGGTTGTTTAAACTGAAACTAAAACTACCTTGCGGATTAGGTTTTGGTTACCGGAAATTTCTGGTTGTGGATCACCGACCGGAAGACCTACTTCGGTTTTCTGCAACCTCGTAATTCCCTGGTTACGAACAAGCCGTGAACCAGCGTTTTCTTTGTTGTACCATAATCTAAGGCAGTGTTGGCGCAGTGGTTTAGTCGCTGTCACCGGAGTGCTTTGGGATCTATGGTCCGTGAGTGGAGCTCCGCCAATGCGACCTAACTTGGATGGTAGACAGCTTTGCTGTCGTCCGGTTCAATACCACGCCTGATCTAGCGGGGCCTTATGTGGTTCGCCACTCCCGGGGTGTAGGTTACCGATTTCCACAAATGAACAGCAGGTTCTTGTGATAATGAGGCTTACCCTGTCCGCTGTTCATCACATTAGAAGTGTGTAATGAAAAAAAGAAAAGTTTTGCAGGACTCAATCTGTGGATCCAGACAATTGTGAATTACAACACACGGATCACCAGCTAGCCATTGGGTAGCTGCTCGGCGCCTACATATGCTAGAATCTTGTGGCGAGATACCACGGAAACGAGTGACACAAATAACACTGGCTACTTGTTTCCCAATTGAATAGCTCCACGAATTACGGGCCAAAGGCTTATTCTATCGTACGCACATGGTGACATATTTTTGCCATAGAAATTGTTTACAGTTATCCTCACTGCTTTGGTACGATCTTTTTTGTTACTAACGTACAAAATATTGTAAATTACAATATTCTGAAACCCGAACAATTTTTGTGCTATTTCGACTTGTAATGATAATTCAGTATTCTCATTCAAAGTTATTTCTGATAAAGATTGGGACTGAAAACCCGTTTAAGTTGCGTGTAACCTTTGGGCTCGTGTCAATTGTCATTCAGTTTTGATATACAGCATTGGTCGATTGTGATGCACTAAAGTATTTTCTTTCTGGTCAGATTGAGTTTCATTATATTTATCACCTATATTATTGCTTTAGACCCAGGTAATTATCGCTTGTAATTTTAAATTCTTCCAAGCGGTAACCATTATTATTCATCTGCTTTTTTTTCTTCTTTGAAACCCTTGGTGTGTTTCAGAATGATAACCTCACGTCCTGCTTTTTTTCAACTTCGCCCTATAGCACTTGGTTTTCATGTTGTGGGGGGCCAACGCTCAGGCTAGGGGTTCAAAAATCGATCGCCAGCGACACCTGGTCCTCGAATCTCCCCATCCGTCTCCCTTGTCCGCTTCACGTGGTTTCTTTGGATGCGGTCACTTTGCAAAGACCAATGAATATCTGAAGAAGCATGGCAAATCACCAATCGACTGGGCTAAATTGGAATAGGTTAATGACGGAGGTTTTTATTCGAGATTTTGCAGATATTTTTAACTATTATTATTATTATTATTATTATTACCCATATTAATTATACGTATTTTAACGCACATTTTCTTTTGTTTGTTTGATAACTAACAAGAATATCCTGTGTTGAATTTCAAACTTATCAATTTCAAACCTGTCCGGTAACTATCTGAATTCACCCCACAGTTCCGACTAAACGCTATCCCTGGTAACTAGTGCTAAGAGGAGCAAGATGGGATAGTCGCAACAGGGTTGCAAAATGGGTTATTTGTATTTGTATAACTTGTGTAAGCTTATATGCGAACATTTCAGTTAAAATGTACACGGTTCGTCACACGCAATGAAATATACAGTCTCATAGAACATGGAACGTAAACAATATCACTGAGGTCTGTTTCATGTACAAAACTTCTCACGGGAGTCACTTGCGACCTGTCCTCTTTTGGTTAGGAGTCGGACCAGGTAGGGTACAGGGAATTTTTTATAAATATTACTGCGAAAAGCTAGGTGCCGAAATGAGGAGCCTGTGGACGAATGTGAACAACAAGACGATAGGTCGGGGTGTAGTGGATTAGGACGGTCGTCTAGAATCTTATTAGCAAGTTTAATACAAAAGTTAATGTGACCATTAGTGAGTTCTGTGGTCAGTGAATCGATCGAGACTGTTCACCATCAAACAACGACTAATTGTTTTGAAGTCATTCTGGAACCAGTTAAGGGTAGCAGATTGCGCTGCATATGAGGAGCCGGGAATAGTGAAGATACACTCAACGCACTTAGATATGTTAAAACAGACCAGATTGATCAGAAAACTGTTGGATGTGGGGTAGATTTTCAGTGAAAGCATCGGATTCCGAAGTAGATGAAATTACCTGGCATACTATATCCTCCGTGCCTAAGTCTGATTAACTGCTTGACGGTGAAGTGGTCATAGTTTGCCTGAAGTCTCTCTCTCCGAGGTTCTCGAATCGCACTGCTGGTGAGAACCAGCAAGACAGAAACAGTTATACATTGTTGGCCTCAAAGCCTTGTAGTTCATATTTGCTCTGCGGGCAGATTTGTTTCGTCTCCAACTGATTCGTTATTCCGTAGACAACAAATGTCGAGCTATGCAAATGTCATCATTCGTGGAAAGTACAGTTTGTACTACATCCTGTGTAGACGAAATGGGTGTGGTCTAGTCTATTGTATTTTAAAAAGAGGCCATTAGTGTTACATGCATGATGTCTGCTACAGTGACATTTCTTTCGCACATCATCAGTTACTTCATGCGAATTACACAAATGGACATTATATATGTTTATGGGGTATGGTGACAAATAGATTCAAAGGCGAGATTCATACAACTTGTTCACAAGACACTGTAACTAGTTTACCAACACCTTTTTCTACTGATCCGAATGCAGATGGTTGAAAATGGTTAGCAAATGGGCGAGGATGATGTGTTAATGTTTGAGTGGGTGTTTCATCAAGTATAAGTCGGATAAGGAAGGTTAGAATACGTGAACATGCGATGACAGGAAGCTAATAAGCCGATTAAACAATAGTCACAGTTGTCATGGGAGAATAAAATAAGAGAATTCATTACCTAAATAAAGATTTTAAATGGGGGGGGGGGNGGGGGGGTAATTGGTGTGTGAGTGAATGAGGGGCAGGGAGAGGAGGACGAAAGTCAAAATGATGAGGTGATAAGTAAAGGATAGGGTGCGGCGGGAGCGGATTAACTTCATGTTAAACCCAATGCGACCACCATCTGCTTCTGAGCGCACAGAATTGGTTTCGTTCTTCGTATGGTTACGGCTTCCGCGAAACTTAGATGGGAAGGCCGTTTTGGGCGGTAGACAACTCGGAGTGCGTCCGTTGGATTCACTTGGTCGCCAGTCTCCTTCATGTGTTTGGTGATAGAGCTTCGAACGCTTCCAGTTGCGTTTCTAGCGGTTCTTCAACCGACAGTCTCACAACGGCAGTTTTCTCTTCTTGCCTCTGGCTTCCATCCAAGTTTCCTGATAGATCCATACAAGCGGAATGTGATCATTAAATAACGGACCAGAAGCACCTTCACTCTACGCTGGTGACTTGCATCAGGACAGGTTCAGTTTCCAACCAGTCCTGTATAATTGAAGAATATCAGGACATGGTTACACAACCATGTCATCCATAATTATCAGAACCATCGAGAGTCAGATATCAAGTAGCTACTTAGCCTCCCGATCAGGTAGATTAATTACAGAAGCTAGGCTGGCGGTAATCTTTTCCTTCCAAAATTAGGACCCTTCTCCACCGGGCACAGTCAAGTATCATCGAGATTTAGCACGTATCACCATTATTTGGCGATAACGAGCTTCCAGGAATAGTTTCTTTATTAGGTATAGCAACTTGGACATTTCCGAGATGAAGTTTTGCTTTAACCAATATCGTGCTCTTTAATGAGCTCGAAAAGACCGCGCCGGCACAGTTCTCCACGGTGAGCACTGTATCGCACGCTTTCTTTTCATTGATCGGATCTACTGTCAGGTTTCCGCTGCCGTTGTTAAAATACCTTAGGCATAGCCAAACTTACTTCCAACTTTTGGAAAGTTTCAGAATATGAGGTTTCTTCATTCCCAATCCTTAGTTCTGTTTCCTCTTGGGACGGATATCCAGAAAGTTGAGAAAACGTCTGACAATTTCTGACGAATATCAGCAACCGCCTAGTCACTAAGCGTTTGCCATTTCGGAATGTGCTCCGAGCTTCGTGTTGCCGAAGGTCGCAACGTATCTGCATCCACAGATACAAAATAATTCATAAACTATGTTTGAGTTGGTGGTTGTGGAAATGCGATCCTTTCTCGGTGGCATCGTCACTCGATTTGCCTGCTCAATGAAGACCACCTTGACCGCATTAACTGCCGCATTGAGACGACTTTTCATGAGGATAGACACGTCATCACCTTGTAGGATAAACAAAGAAAAACACGTAACAGTTAGGAATGCATGTTTTTCTCCATACTGGTTAGAATACTTGTCAATGAACTTTGTAGGGGATAGTCGTTGCCCAACAGTGTTTCTTAGAGGGTTGTTGTGTCTTTGTCAACATTTCATTTGTGGCGATTTGACGAAATCGATTAAATAATGTTCGTACCCGACCACGCTTTTAGACTATTGCCCTGAACAAGTTTTCTCATGGTAGGTACTTCTAGCCAGTGACCCGTTCTATGAGCACGTCTGGGAACGGCAAAACTCCATCTGTTTCCCTTCCGGTCGTAAATTTTATATTTGAGTGTTAGGTGTTCTATTTTACCTGTACGGTCCCAGATTCAGTCGTCTACCGTGATCAGGTTTTTCATTGGGTCGCTCATAGGAGATTTGGTCTTCGGACGGGCAATAGAGATCAATGCTAAAGCATGGTCACCGCCGGTTTGCTGTTCAGTGTGTACAATACCGAAGATATTTTTGATCCGGTGTCAGTTGGGAGTGACCGCGTTATTGTAAATCGCCGTAAAAGTCCCGATGGTTGGGTTTCACTCCTCCATTGGTTGCTCTTGGCAGCCTAACGCCTGTACTGATAGTATGCAATCCTTAAACTCGTGCCTAGGAAGTTGTGTCGATCTGAATGATCTTAATTTCAGTACTACGCTTTCTCTACTTGCTCTATCACGGTGATATCGCCAGGTGCATATTTGTACTCTTCTCCGGTAAGCAGTATCTTGCTTTCATGCAAGCATATTAATTATTTGTATCATAATAAGTAGTCTATGAATGACTCAACCCAATTTCCCTGAAATCACACAGCCGGTTTCGCGGTTCTTACCGCTCGTCAGACATGCGCATCCGGTAATCTCTTGTCACTTCATTCATATACTTATACCAATCTTTCGGTCACCAAACTGGAAGGCGCGAGACACCTACTCTACCTAATGGCCCTGTACATTTCTCCATGCCTCGTCTCCACATCATCTGTTGACTTCCACGTGGTTTCTTCCAGCCCACAGTGGCTATAGCCATGCTAACCAAGGTGGACCCAAAAGATGCAGTTTTCTAGTATGCAACCGGCAATGATCCGTCGGTGTTTTGGTCGATATCATGGCTCTCAGCAGCTCATCGATTGTGAATTAGTGCAGCTTTATAACTGCGCATATCCCCGCCTGCTTGTTCACATTTTTTAAGGCGTAGATTGGACGTGGACTACATTTATATGAATAAAGTATTAGCCTCTCGTGTCGCTCACATTGGTGTGTGCGCGCGCTCAGTGGAACGATTTCGGTTGTTTGAACAAGCTGGAGTGAGTCCACCGGACTGTGGGTATGTCAAACACCGGGGAAGTGACAGTCTGTGATATGACTCAACGGGTTTCGTGACGGCATTTTTTGTATTCTGTGCACGAACTGGTATGGTGCGTCTGCAAATAAGGTGCCATCATGTTCCATACCTGTACATGGTTCCAGCGCGTCACACACTACCGTAATGAATATCTTGAATTGCGATTATAATGCACCGGATTGTGGATTTCGATTGGTTAAATGAATCATGCGTAGGCACATAGCCAGGGTGTTTTCGGCCAGCTGCATGTTTCTGCAAGCCAGCCAGATTGGCCGTGTGATCGATCTTCTATGTGACATGTATTATTTACTTGTCCCGCTCGCAGCATGCATCCCTCCTCGAGGTACGAGTGAACGGGTGCGTGGTTTGCACGCATTTGGCGCTGTTTCTCATCCCAATTATGAAAGATAAAGTGTGCAGCTAAGACCACCCGCCGTCAAGTGGGGCAACCTATCGTTTCACACAACTGCGGTAAATTTCAATACATCTTGATAGAATAAGACCATTTTAATAGCACTGTGATCGATACACTCACGAGCGTCCTGTGTCATTCTTTTTGTGCACTTACTCATTTCATTTCGCATGGAGTTCTGTCATTCGGTACAGAAAGATGTACGACCGATTCAGAATGATCACGCATGGTTGTGCTGTTTTGTTTCGATTCAGAGTTTATATCTTTTCAG